CTTTTACACTGAAAACTGCATCCGCTAAGCTATAGATTTTATCATCCTGAACTTCAAAAAGTCCATTCCCTACCTTCATCCACAGATCATAGTATCTGGCTATTCTGATTTCTGATTCCCTTCTGACACCCCTCATCAAAACCCGCTGTTTTACAGAGTAAGACCTAAGACTTTGACCTTCGTGTATATGACCGCGCTGGAGCCGCCCGTTAGTAAGCCCCCGAGCAGCACTCACGTCCAGCCGACGTCACCTCTGCGGCTCCAGGTCCGCTCAGGACTCGAGAACAGCTACAGCTCTGGGCAGAACCTCCCGGGCGCGTCTGTGCGAATCTCATCATCCCTCTTTACTTGTTTAAGGGCTTTATTAGAAAAAGACCAAAACTCTTATCCGCCCCCATCTTGGACACCCTTACGTCCTCGCTGCCTTCCACAGCAGGCATTGGTGCTGCCCTGAAAGCCACCCTTGTGACCTGTTCCCGGACCCCTTCTCACCATGGCTCACAGGCACGTAGCCTGTGCAGTGACAAAATGGGGGCCTTAGCAGAACACCCAGAACCCAGCAACCATCAACAGATGACGGCTTTTCCCGGTTTAAAAACAACTTGAGGGGCACCTGAGTGGCCCAGTCGGTTAAGCATCTGACTCTGGGTTTCGGCTCAGGGCATGATCTCACGGTTCGTGAGTTCAAGCCCCGTGTCAGACTCCTCACTTACAGTGCAGAGCCTGCTTGGGATTCTCTCTCTCGCCCTCTCTCTCTGCCCCTCCCCTGCTTACTGTCTCTCTCTCAAAATAAATATACAAGCTTAAAAATTAAAAACAAAAACAAAAAAAACCCCAAGAAACTAGAGGCCAGAAGGATGGGTCGCAAAAACAGAGGGTGTGGTTTCCATAGCCGGCAGCCTAAAGGGCCCTCCCGGAGTTGTGCGGCGAGAGCACCACGCTCTCATGTCACTTCCTTCCCACGACAGAGTCCCCACGGCCGTCTCCAACTTCTTCTCTTTTCAGCAAGCTCCTCTTCCGGGACGTTCAGCACCGCAGGGCGCCACCACCCCAGAGTCCCCGCCGCGTCGCCGCTAGCTCACTGGGCGTGCAGGCAGAGAAGGGAAACCCGGACTAACTGGACCGGCCGGCGGCCAGGCGCCATGCCCGGGTATGAACTGGGGATCTCGGACCACCTGCCCTCCGCCTCGTCCCCCAGCCCCGCCGCCCCGTGCTGAGCGAGTGACACGAAAGGCACCTCGCAGAAACACTGCATCCTCTGGCGCCATTGCCAAGCACAAACCAGAACTTGAAGAAAGGTCACTCAATGTCAAAGGGTACCTGGTGGGAAGCTATTCATTATGTATCCACAGTAACTGCTAATGTAGCCAAGGGGGAATTAAATGGGGCTCCGATCAATTGTTACCGCTGGTCTGACCCCTTAATGCTGTAAACACAGACAGGACATGTCATTTCTATTTTGACGTCGTAAACCCTTAGGTTTTTAATTATTAATTTTTTCATCATTTAAAGTTACATTCATTTTTATCAATTAAAAAGTTCTGAAATTTTTAGTAGCAAATACTATTGAACTACTAACTATAGATTTGTGCACACACAAATAACTAGAAATCATCTGTAACACCCTCGCCAAGCTAAAAACACAAGGGTAAAAGTCAACCAGGGAATAAATAGCCGCTTACTTCTGAGATGTAACACAGGACAGAAGAAACTAACATCTTAACATTAGAAAAATCCTCCCATGATGCCAATACCAAGCTATCGTTTCTTTTCTCCTTTTTAAAAAGATTTATTTCCATCTGACCATGTGAAATTGATGTAATCGCCAATCAGAGACCCACACAATTATTTTGCCAATCAATTTATATTTCTACTTAACAAGCCTGACAGCTACTTTTAAAAGAAACATTATGAAATATTCTTCAATTAAGTAAAGAATTATTTAACAGATAAATATTCTTAACGGGGCTCTCTCGTGGTTTTAAACAAGCTGTGCACTTGATTAACCTCACAAGCTTGTTTGGCACTGCTGTAATTTTTACAAATGAGATAGAATGGAGGGATCATAAAGACCAAATTAATCACAAAATGATCAGTACTTCAGTCATACAAGAGCTCGTTATTCATATTAGTTAAGTTGGAGAATGAACTGGCTATTCCTACTATAAAACATACTTAGGTCTTCAAGATTTGTGCGAGGCAATTTCTTCCCCCAGACTCTTGTGGAGTCCAGTGCAGACGGGAGCCACCGTTCAGGGAAGCCCATCTTCCAAGACGTGTTTCAACACTGCACACCCACCTCTCGGCACACGGAACACCTTCCCAAGTCACTGTTTGGATCGAGATTTTTCTATCATTACAAGTCCTAAGGTTAAGGGGCGCCTGGGTGGCTCAGTAGGTTAAGCATCTGACTCTTGGTTTCGGCTCAGGTCATGATCTCAAGGTTTGTGAGTTCGAGCCCCGCATCCGGCTCTGTGCTGACAGTGCAGAGCCTGCTTGGGATTCTTTCTCCCTCTCTCTACGCCCCTCCCCTGCTCTCTCTCTGTCTCTCTCTCTCAAAATAAATGGATTTAAATGAAATTAAAGAAAAAAAAAGTCTTAAGGTAACGACAGTCAATGTCCTAGACACTCGAAAACCAGCTTTCACATGAGGTTGCCCAAACACGTAACACTGGTTAGTACAGAGCATGCACAGCCTGGAGAAACCAGGGAGGGGAGTCTTTCTGCGAACAGGAATTTATCTCAAAATGTACTGGGCACGTACCATGTGCCAGGCATTGGCAGGTCCCCGGGGTTACAAAGATTACGCCCCAGTTGTCGAGGACCTCAATCCAGGGAGGGCCAGAGGGCATCACCGGTGCATGGGTAAGGGGTGGCTGGCTCGATGGGAGAGGAGGCTGCGTCTAGAGGGGATGCCGGGCCCTCCCAAGGGGAGCCTTCGGGGGGTCGCTCACTTCAGAGCGCCCGCCCTGCCGCCGCGACCACGCCGTGACACCCAACCTCAGTGCATTCACCTGAAGCAGGCCTGCGTGGCAGCATCACCCAAACCAGAGGTGTCCCAGGTGGTTATGAAAGGGCGCTCACAGCCGGAGCTGGGCGGTGGTGCGGGCGGCAGGGGGCGGCTCTTGTATGGATGATAAAAGTGATTCAATTATTATCGGCTGAGCGATACTAAGGAAAGGCCAGGTGAGGTTTAGATCCTACAACTCTACGCGGAAATCTTTTTAAAAACTATTTTCTTACTGAAAGTTCCCAAGGCCATCAAATTCATGAGCCGAAAATTCTTTTCCCTCACCAAAACTATTTTTTAATGCAGTTGTGATGAGTGGGGCTCTCAGGACATAACAAATGCTTTATAAGCAAAATGCCAAAGGCTAAAATTTATTGAACACTTACTATGGGCCCATTACGGCTCTAAGCGCTCCAACAACCCTTTTATCTTACTTGCCTGGTGAAATGCAACAAAGTCCACGCACACGACCAAACATTACCGGCAAAACGTTAGGAACACAAATTAAAATAAAGCAACGTCAAAACATGCTATAAATCCTGTATCAGTAGCTTCCTAGAACGCACGACATACCAAGGGATTTGGATCCGAGGGGGAATGTTTTCCAGCTCCCTGCGGAGGGGTCCAAACTCTCTGTATTTCAGGGTCTCATGGAATCACTCCAGGGGCTCCGGCCACCGGCCTGGCGGCGGCTCCCCCTCATACAAGGTGAGGCAAGCACACTTCGGACCGAGTAACACCTTCCCTGCCTCCCACCTGTGCATCTTTTCCGCGTGGCCCCCCATCTGGAACATGGGGAGCCTGTTCCCCGCGACGCCCGTTCCCCAGAGCTGTTGTTAAGACGAAGGTCACGCGTGGCCCGCACTTAGCAAGTTCCGCGTGGAAAGCCACGGGTGTGCGTGAAGGCGGACGGGCCGGTGCGGCCGAGTGGCTGGGAAACCACGAGAACCCAGCACAGCCCGCTGCTCCTGAGAAGCGGCAGGCCCCGGGGACGCAGCGGAGGCGCAGAGGAAGAGCCCAGGGTCCGCACCCCCCAGTGCGGGGACGGGGGAGGGGGCCCCGCGCAACGCGTGGCAGGGGCTTTACTGTAGTTCTCAACGTCGTTCCCTAAACTTAAGCAATAAAACTAAATGTTTCTTTATGAAGGCAGGTTTTCTGAGACTAAAACCTACCTGGTGACTTAGAACAGTTTAAAAAGTAACGTTATTACCTGAAGAACGGAGCGACACTAAACCTGTAAATTCTGCAAAGTACCTGTTAAGCCAGCAATCTACTCCGCAAACGTCAGCGCAGTTACCAGGAGCTCAGCGAGGATTCCGGACTCCGAGGGAGGGACGCCGGAAATGCGCCGCAGCGGCCTCGGGGCCCAGCACCCGCAGCCGCTCGCGGGAGCGCCCACGGCACTTCCGGGGTCCCCACCCCGCCCCCGAAGCCCCTCGCGTGGGCGCCCACGGCACTTCCGGTGTCCCCGCTCCACCCCGAAGCCCCTCGCGTGGGCGCCCACGGCACTTCCGGTGTCCCCGCTCCACCCCGAAGCCCCTCGCGTGGGCGCCCACGGCACTTCCGG